CATCTGATCTTTGTAATTCTATTCTGTTCCATGGCAGAGGGGCTTTCCTAGCCTAAATTTGCTGTGATAAGTTGGTAAAAAGTAGTTGTAATACATTTTTAAGTCGGTGCAGCCATTTCATCAGGATTATGTGATTATCCCACATAACGGCAGTGGGCTGTCACTGAAAATTCCCAACCTTAGCTGCCTCAGGCCGGCCAGCCTCTTGTGGCATTTTCAACAACTCTTGATAGAAGTTGGAAATAGATATTAGCATTTTTCAGGTATGTGGTTAAAAACTTCACTACCAGAATAATAGAAGAGGACATTTTTGGCTGGCAGGTTTCGATATTTTAAGTTAATTTAGGCACTAGGAGTGATTGTAGCACCTTTGCTTTTTAGATGAAGCAAAAATATTCTCCTTGCCTTTAATGCAAACCTTAAAGAATGGTGACACCTCTGCGTGAGAAGCGCTGTGTCTATCTCCCTGCCAGCTCCCAGATGAGCTTTTCTGACAGGTTGGTGCTGTGCATCGAGCAGCAAAAGTTCAAATTTTCCTACTCCAGTATCTGCTGCTAATGCGTCACACATTTCAGCTCCTCACGTGCTTCCAGATGCCCTGCTCCTACTGCTTGACAGGTGCTGCACGACTTTGGATGTAAACCTGCTGCCTCTGCTTCTCAAATTGCCTTTGGTATTAAAAGGGAGTTTTTCCTCTTCACTGTCGCTACAAGCATGATTAGTGTGAGGGATTGTATTTGAGTCAATGAGTCGATGCAATGAACTGGTTTTCCTTACATAGAAAACTTTGAATCAATTTGACTGTATGATCAATTTGCCGCTATATCAATAAATCTGAATTAAATTGAATTGATATGAATGTGGCATTAGACGATCTATATTACAGCAGTACAACAAATGTTTTATCTCAGTTTTAAGTCAGTATGCCACGGGTTTGTAGTTGTGAGACCATTCTTAACCTGTGATACTGTGAGAATAGTGTACTAATACTATAACCTTAATACTAAGGTAACTGTACTCCTATGTACAGTATGCATAGAGGTATTCCATACCAGTTATAGTGAGGTTGACCGTGTTGCTGAAATCTCCTGATCCAGACTCACACCAGTACACAGCTTTATTGTGTGACGTACTCCTTATGGTACATGAAGATCCAGACATTTTCTCCCAGTCAGAACAGTTTTTTATATAAGCCAGGTAGCCTTTTCCTGTGAACTTCCTCACTCTCCAATGAGTAAAGTTTCCTTCACAGTTCAGTTTTACAGCCTCAGAGGTGAAGTGTTGCTCTCTGTTAGGATGTACTGTGATAGACGCTGCTGGTTGGGAAACTGCATAAGACAAGGTATAAAACAGCATTAGCAACAATGTGAGACAAAATTATTTGGAGGAAGTTTTATCTTTTTATTTGTTTAAACATTTTTGACAATAAAGTGTTTTTTCTCTTTAAACTACTTCTAAACCTTTCTTAAGGCATTTGATGCTTTACGAATTTTTGTTCTTCCCTTGAAACTGTTTAAACTCATTTAAACATTTGTGTACATTTCACATGTGATGTGTTGTTAGGAAAGGCTTTCTTACCAACTACTGTAAAATAGGTTTCTGAGTTCTGTAGCAAAAACGACAATACTGTAGGTTGTACTGTGCACTAATATGCATGATGGTTGCTTATTGTATTAAATCTGTTTCTGGCCGAACATCAGTGTCTGGATGCGTCTTCTATTGTAGTCATACCAACCTTTTTATGCCCAGCAAAGAAATATCAGTCTGTGTTTGTACACAGAACTCACCTGCAGACCAGACAAACTTTGGCAAGCTATAATCAGTAAAAGTATCT